CAGCTTTGCCGGGACACACGATCCTTCACTACCCCTCTATAGAGTTTAGAGATCTGTTGTTGCTGCCGAGGGGTCAATTGTTGCTGAGGGGATCTATTGTTGCTGGGGGAGGCCTTTTGTTGCTGAGGAATCTATTGTTGCCGGGGGTCTTTTGTTACGGGGGGTCTTTTGTTACGTGGGTCTATTGTTATGGGGGTCTATTGTTGCCAGGGGGGTCTATTGTTGCCAGGGGGTCTATTGTTGCTGTAGGGTCTATTGTTGCCAGGGGGATCTATTGTGGCTGGGGGATCTATTGTTGCTAAGGGGATCTATTGTTGCCAGGGGATGTATTGTTGCTGGCTGCATGGGATCTGTTTTTCTGCTTTTCTTGTTAACATTAACAAATTCCATAAAAATTACTTAGCACCACAATATACTTGGTTCTGTATTCTCTAAAAGGGGCGGTACTGTGAGGTGGGTAGGAGGTGGAACCAAGGAACGGTGCTCGGAGGTGGGTAGGGTGTGGAACCAAGGGACGGTGCTTGGAGGTGGGTAGGGGGTGGAACCAAGGGACGGTGCTTGGAGGTGGGTAGGGGGGTGGAACCAAGGGACGGTGCTTGGAGGTGGGTAGGGGGTAGAACCAAGGGACGGTGTTTGGAGGTGGGTAGGGGGTGGAGCCAAGGGATGGTGTTTGGAGGTGGGTAGGGTGTGGAACCAAGGGACGGTGTTTGGAGGTGGGTAGGGGGTGGAACCAAGGGATGGTGCTAGCAGGTGGGTAGGGTGTGGAACCAAGGGACGGTGCTCGGAGGTGGGGAGGGTGTGGAACCAAGGGACGGTGCTCGGAGGTGGGGAGGGTGTGGAACCCAGGGACGGTGTTTGGAGGTGGGTGAGAGGTTGAACCAAGGGACGGTGCTCGGAGGTGGGGAGGGGGTGGAACCAAGGGACGGTGTTTGGAGGTAGATAGGGGGTGGAACCAAGGGACAGTGCTTGGAGGTGGGTAAGGGGTTGAACCAAGGGACAGTGCTCGGAGATGGGTAGGGGGTGGAACCAAGGGAAGGTGCTCGGAGGTGGGTAGCGGGTGAAACCAAGGAATGGCGCATGGAGGTGGTTAGGGGATGGAACCAAGGGATGGTGCTCGGAGGTGGGTAGGGGGTGGAACTAAGGGACGGTGCTCAGAGGTGGGTAGCAGGGTAGGGGGTGGAACCAAGAGACGGTGCTTGGAGGTGGGTGTGGGTGGAACCAAGGGATGGTGTTTGGAGGTGTGTAGGGGGTGGAACCAAGGGATGGTGCTAACAGGTGTGTAGGGGTGGAACCAAGGGACGGTGTTTGGAAGTGGGTAGGGGGTGGAACCAAGGGATGGTGCTAGGGGGTGGAACCAAGGGACAGTGCTAGGAGATGGGTAGGGGGTGGAACCAAGGGAAGGTGCTCGCAAGTGGGTAGTGGGTGCAACCAAGTGATGGTGCATGGAGGTGGTTAGGGGGTGGAACCAAGGGATGGTGCTCAGAGGTGGGTAGGGGGTGGAACTAAGGGACGGTGCTTGGAGGTGGGTAGGTGGGTAGGTGGGTAGTGGGTGGAACCAAGAGACGGTGCACAGAGGTGGATAGACGGTGGAACCAAGGGACAGTGCTCGGAGGTGAGTAGGGGGAGAAACCAAGGGATGTGCTCGGAGGTGGGTAGGGTGTAGAACCAAGGGACGGTGTTTGGAGGTGGGTAGGGGGTGGAACCAAGGGATGGTGCTAGCAGGTGGGTAGGGTGTGGAACCAAGGGGCAGTGCTCGGAGGTGGGTAGGGGGTGGAACCAAGGGACGGTGTTTGGAGGTGGGTAGGGGGTGGAACCAAGGGATGGTGCTAGGAGGTGGTTAGGGGGTGGAACTAAGGGATGGTGTTTGGAGGTGGGTAGGGTGTGGAACCAAGGGACGGTGTTTGGAGGTGGGTAGGGGGTGGATCCAAGAGACGGTGTTTGGAAATGGATAGGGGGTGGACCCAAGGGACAGTGCTCGGAGGTGGGTAAGAGGTTGAACCAAGGGACAGTGCTCGGAGATGGGTAGCGGGTGGAACCAAGGGAAGGTGCTTGGCGGTGGTTAGCGGGTGAAACCAAGGAATGGCACATGGAGGTGGTTAGGGGGTGGAACCAAGGGATGGTGCTCAGAGGTGGGTAGGGGGTGGAACTAAGGGACAGTGCTCAGAGGTGGGTAGCAGGGTAGGGGGTGGACCCAAGAGACGGTGCTTGGAGGTAGGTAGGGGGTGGAACCAAGGAATGGTGTTTGGAGGTGTGTATGGGGTGGAACCAAGGGATGGTGCTAGCAGGTGGGTAGGGGGTGGAACCAAGGGATGGTGTTTGGAGGTGGGTAGGGGGTGGAACCAAGGGACGCTGTTTGGAGGTGGGTAGGGGGTGGAACCAAGGGATGGTGCTCGGAGGTGGATAGCGGGTGAAACCAAGTGATGGTGCATGGAGGTGGTTAGGGGGTGGAACCAAGGGATGGTGCTCAGAGGTGGGTAGGGGGTGGAACTAAGGGATGGTGCTCGGAGGTGGGTAGGGGGTGGAACCAAGAGACGGTGCACAGAGGTGGATAGAGGGTGGAACCAAGGAACAGTGCACGGAGGTGAGTAGGGGGTGGAACCAAGGGATGTGCTCGGAGGTGGGTAGGGTGTAGAGTCGAGGGACCGTGCACGGAGGTGGGTAGGGGGTGGAACCAAGGGGCAGTTCTCAGAGGTGGGTAGGGGGTGGAACCAAGGGGCAATGCTCGGAGGTGGGTAGGTGGTGGAACCAAGGGACGGTGCATGGAGTTGGATAGAGGGTGGAACCAAGGGATGTGCTTGGAGGTGGGTAGGGGGTGGAACCAAGGGATGGTGATCGGAGGTGGGTAGGGGGTGGACCCAAGGGATGTGCTCAGAGGTGGGTAGGGGGTGGAACCAAGGGACGGTGCTCGGAGGTGGGTAGTAGGTGGAGACAAGGGATGGTGCTCGGAGGTGGGTAGGGGGTGGAACCAAGGGATGTGCTCGGAGGTGGGTAGGGGGTGGAACCAAGGAACGGTGCTCGGAGGTGGGTAGTAGGTGGAGACAAGGGATGGTGCTCCGAAGTGGTAGGGGGTGGAGACAAGGGTGACTCAGAAGGGGGGAGTACCTGCACCCATTCTCTGAGAGAAAAAAAAAGCCCTGCAAAGTAGTAACGGCCATAGAGCGCACTCGCAGCATGAAAAGGAAGCGCTCTGCTAGGGAAGCCACGGCCGAAAGCTGATTTTTTTTTCTGTTTCTTATTGACTGGAATTCCTCTTTGTATAAATAAAGCCGGGAATGATGCAAGACGTGCGGATGAGTCACAACGTATTCCATCCTCATTATACAACACGCCAAAACAGCTAGAAAGCACCCCGCTGTGCGTCTAGGAGAGACATCCACCTTAAAGCTGTTTCTAATGGGAAATTCTGTCATAATTCACAATCTCAGTAAAAAATACATTCTGTCAGTAGTTTCCATGTAAAAAAAAAAAAAAAGTAGTTGGGGGGGGGGGGTTTGGCAACAAGGAGCAAGGACCTGAGTGGGAGCCGAAATGGCCGGACAAAGCGGTCAAAATGATTGTAAAGGCAGATTTTCTTCCTTTAAAATACCATACATGTCATACTTACCTGCTCTGTGCCGTGATTTAATGTGTTTAATGGATAGAATCAGGGGAGGACTGACTATTGGAGCACTCGGGTACTGCCAGAGGGCCCAGGGCAGTAGGGGGCCCCATGAAATGTCCCTGGTACCTTTTATAGGCTTTTTGGGGGGTGCTTTGAGTATGGGCAAGGACACAGGGGCCCCATGATCCCCTATTGCCCGGGGGCCCCATGGGTTGTCAGTCCGACACTGGATAGAATGCATGAAGGTAACAGATCTTGGCCCTTTACCATCACTTTAACCCTTCAATCATCAGGCATCTTTACTGTACAGCCAGCAGGTGCTACCTACGGACCCTGAAATCCACATCAAACTTTGTATCAGCTCGCTCCGTGCGCTGCGCTTCTTTATCTAGTATTAGGGCCCAAATTATGATCTTGTACACAGGCCCACTTTTCATAAAACGCCCCTGCCTGCCGCCCATCTTTAAACCTGAAAGTGCCCATCGGCTTCTACAGAAGGATGCCAGGACCTTCCATGTAGGCTATGCTGCGGTGGATATTTAAATGCCCCATCTATGCAGCTGAGCTATAATAACCAGATGATGAGGCTCACAGAGATTCCTGGAGGCATGGTTGGGAAGCCTACGGGCACCTGACAGGTTCTCAAATGGCTGTCACCTTTGAACCTGTCGTGTGTTTGGTGGCTTCCCAGCAATGGCAAGGGCAATCTCTGTGAGCCTAAGCTGCAGGCAAGAATTGGACATTGGCTCATTCCTGAACATGAGGGCCCAACAGCTTCCACAGTTTGCTGACGGGCCCTTCTGTGCAGCTGGGTTGCAATATGTGGACGATGGCTGCCACAAATGCAAGTAATGTAGGCAGGGCAATGAGCTTTGTGTAGGTGTGGCTTGAGTGTGGGTGGGGACACATGATCTCCTTTTGCCCAGGGGCCCCATGAGTTCTCAGTCCACCCCTGTTTATACGTATGTGTATTTTATGGATGTCCTAAAATCCAGGCATTCTAGTCTGCAATTGTGGATATCATCATCACCTTGACCACCCGCCGCTAAACATTATTTTGTGTATCCTGGGTCTGGTGGAGCCTCTAGCTCTGCTTTTCTCAAACTTTTTAACATGAGGAACTCTTGCAATAACTTTCTGGTCTCAGGGAATCCCCTGTGGAATAGTAAAGGAGAAAAATACTCCTTAGATTGGTGATCAGTGGAAAGAACGCCCCTTACATTGATGGTCAGTTGGAAGATGCCCCCTTACATTGGTGGTCAGTGGGAAGATGCCCCCTTACATTGACTGGTGATCATTGGAAAGAATGTCCCTTACATTGATGGTCAGTGGGAAGAATGTCCCTTACATTGGTGATCGGTGGCAAGAATGTCCTTTACATTGGTGATCAGTGGGAAGAATGCCCCTTACATTGGTGGTCAGTGGGAAGAATGCCCCTTACATTGGTGGTCAGTGGGAAGAATGCCCCTTACATTGGTGATCAGTGGGAAGAATGCCCCTTACATTGGTGGTCAGTGGGAAGAATGCCCCTTACATTGGTGATCAGTGGGAAGAATGCCCCTTAGTGTTGGTGATCAGTGCGAAGAATGCTCCTTACATTGGTGGTCAGTGGGAAGATTGCCCCTTACGTTGGTGATCAGTGGGAAGAATGCCCCTTACATTGATGGTCAGTGGGAAGAATGCCCCTTACATTGATGGTCAGTGGGAAGAATGCCCCTTACATTGGGGGCCAGTGGGAAGAATGTCCCTTACATTGGTGATCAGTGGGAAGAATGCCCCTTACATTGGTGATCAGTGGGAAGAATGCCCCTTACATTGGGGGTCAGTGGGAAGAATGCCCCTTACATTGATGGTCAGTGGGAAGAATGCCCCTTACATTGGGGGCCAGTGGGAAGAATGTCCCTTACATTGGTGGCCAGTGGGAAGAATGTCCCTTACATTGGTGGTCAGTGGGAAGAATGCCCCTTACATTGGGGGCCAGTGGGAAGAATGTCCCTTACATTGGTGGTCAGTGGGAAGAATGCCACTTACATTAATGGTCAGTGGGAAGAATGTCCCTTACATTGGGGGTCAGTGGGAAGAATGTCCCTTACATTGGTGGTCAGTGGGAAGAATGCCACTTACATTGATGGTCAGTGGGAAGAATGTCCCTTACATTGGGGGTCAGTGGGAAGAATGTCCCTTACATTGGTGGTCAGTGGGAAGAATGCCACTTACATTAATGGTCAGTGGGAAGAATGTCCCTTACATTGGGGGTCAGTGGGAAGAATGTCCCTTACATTGGTGGTCAGTGGGAAGAATGCCACTTACATTGATGGTCAGTGGGAAGAATGTCCCTTACATTGGGGGTCAGTGGGAAGAATGTCCCTTACATTGATGGTTAGTAGGAAGGATGTTCCTTACAAAGGTGATCATGGCAAACAATGCAATCATTAGTGGTCAGTAGTGCAATCAATAGCAACTTATCTGAGAGGCAGAAATTGCTCCTTTCCTAGCAACCTCTAGAGGAACCCTGGCTGAGAAAGGCTGCTCTAGCTACTACCAACTATGCCAGAACCTTCTTGGGCTTCTATTTACTCTTCATCTTCAACATGTGGCTCCTGGAGAATATTTCCCAAACAGCTTTGCCACTGTGGAAGACCATCTGTGAACCCAGGGGTTGCCTTCCTAAATTCAGCAGAATATGGGACACTGGATTATCTTCCAAATCTGCAGTTCATCCCTGCTGTGAAATGATGGCCTTGTGCCAGCTGAGATAAACATCTTTAGAATCACGCAAGATCTCCTGAACTCACCATATTATTGATGCACCAATACTGAGACCAGTATCGGTATTGGTGCCAATACCAAGTATTATCACGAGTACTCACGCTCACAAAAATGTTCCTGATACCGGACACTGATACTTTGCAATGAACCCCCTCCACCGAGTACAAACTCCCCCTCCACTAAGTACAGACTCCCCTTCCTCAGTACAGACCCCCTTCCACTAAGTACAGACCCCCCTCCCTCAGTACGGACCCCCCTACACCAAGTACAGAGTCCCCTCCACTAAGTACAGACTCCTCTTCCTCAGTACAGACCCCCTTCCACTAAGTACAGACCCCCCTCCCTCAGTACGGACCCCCCTACACCAGGTACAGACTCCCCTCCACTAAGTACAGACTCCCCTTCCTCAGTACAGACCCCCCTCCCTCAGTACGGACCCCCCTACACCAGGTACAGACTCCCCTCCACTAAGTACAGACTCCCCCTCCACTAAGTACAGGCCCCCCTCCACTAAGTATAGACTCCCCTTCCTCAGTACAGACCTCCCTCCTCTAAGTACAGACTTCCCTTCCTCAGTACAGACCTCCCTCCCTCAGTACAGACCCCCCTCTACTAAGTACAGACTCCCCTTCCTCAGTACAGACCCCCCTACCAAGTACAGACTCCCCTTCCTCAGTACAGACCCCCCCCCCTCCCTCAGTACAGACCCCCCTCTACTAAGTACAGACCCCCTCCCTCAGTTCAGACTCCCCTCCACTAAGTACAGACCCCCCGTCCTCAGTACAGACCCCCCCTCCTTCAGAACAGATTCCCTTCCACTAAGTACAGGCCCCCCTCCACTAAATACAGACAGCCCTCCCTCAGTACAGACCCCCCCTTCACTAAGTACTGACCTCCCTACCTCAGTACAGACCCCGCTCTTCTAAGTACAGACACCCCCCCCTCCACTAAGTACAGACCCCCCTCCCTTAGTATAGACCCCGTTCCTCAGTACAGACCTCCCTCTTCACTAAGTAAAGGTCCCCCTGCACTAAGTACACACCCCACTTCCTCAGTACAGACCCTCCTCCACTAAGTACAGACCCCCCTTTCCTCATTAGACACCCCTCTCTCCACTTGTGCTAGTAGGATGGAAGGGGGATCACATATATGCTGGGGGGCGCTTTGGGAGGGAAGAGGGCTTGTGCTCTTGTGGGGGGGAGGGTTGTATTTCAACTCCAAACCCCCACTGCTAGCATAGGTCCTCTCCCCTCCAAAGTCCCCCCCTCAATACAGATTCTCTTAAACTTCCACCCCCAACAAATCACTTTCTGGTCAGTCTGTCCCTCACCCTCCTCCATGTGACAGTGCTGACCAATCAAAAGCCCTCTAGTCCGAACTGTCATCCCTGCAAGGAGAGGAGAATCTCTCCTACCACTGGGAATATGGAGCACCTGCCTCCACAGTATACATCCCCACACCCTATGACAGCCTGGGTTCACACAGGAGCAGTGGGGAAACCCCATACGATTTGAACAAGAATCGCATTGCTGTTCAAATTGCATGCTGTTCTTTGCGGTGCATTTTGCGTCCATACATTTTGTATGGACGCAAATCGCACCCCAAAGTATCGGTAATCAGAATCGGCGAGAACTTGACCAAAAGTATCGGTACTCATACTCGCCAATAAAAAAAAGGGTATCGGTGCATAACTAGGCCGCATACTATGGTATTAAATTAATTTACATTCCTCGCTCTGGTTACCTAATGGGGCGAATTGCCCGAGTCCTGCATGGAAGAATTGCCATAGGGTTTATGGTACAATTATGCATGGGCTTGATAGCAGTTATTTTTGACGCAAGGTCCCACACACCTCCCTAGATTTTTGAAGAGTCGAGCGCAGGGGCGGACTGACCATTTAGCCACTCGGACACTGCCCGAGGGCCCGGGGTCAGTAGGGGGCCCCATGAGATGCCCCTGGTACCTTTCATAGGCTTTTTTGGGTGTGGTTTGAGTGTGGGCTAGGACACAGGGGCCCCATGATTTCCTATTGCCCGGGGGCCCCATGAGTTGTCAGTCCGCCCCTGGTCGAGCATAACTAACGGATTTCAAACGTTGTTACTGGGACTGTTACGTGTCTTGGATTAAACCCCTGTAAGGTTTTTATTGTTAGTGGTATACCTGTTCGGGAGATTCACCCTCTCTACTTGCACTGTGGCCATTGTCACCTGGAGTAAATTTGGTGGGAAAATTCATCTGTGACAACTGTCTCTCTTTGAAGAGATACCTTCTCACTTTTTGTTGTTAAGAAAGTTAGGGAAAATGTCAGAGGTATAACTAGACCCTTCAGGGCCCCAGTGTAAGACACAGTGAAGAGTCCCTCTGACCCCATCCCAGGTCCCTTTCAATCGGTCCCGGGCCTTTGCCACTGGTCCTGGGGCCCTTCCCATCGTTCCCAGGGCCTTTTGCTCTAGTCCTGTGACCCTTCCCTCTGAGTACAGGGCCCTTCCCTGTGAGCTTGGGGCCCTTCCCTCCAGGCCTGGGACCCTTCCCACTGATCTCTACTCCCATTGCATGTTCTGCAGCAGGCCCCGTTTCTGCCATCTTAGGTCCCCCCTCAGTGGCAGAGTGCCAGGGCAAGGACACAAGTGTGACCGTTGCGACCCTGGTAGTTCCACCACTGGAAAATGGAATATATGCTTTGATCAAAGACCTCTCTTTCTCTTTCATGTTTCCCATTTCATGTACCAATAAGTCACTGCCATGTTTCACATGACTGTCATGTTGACTGTCATATGCCTTTAAATGTTTTCAGTGTTTTGACTCTGCTCCTCCCTTTCCTTTAGTTTAGCTAATGTTGCATAGATAGCCCTCCCCAGGGGCAGACTGACCATTTGGAAACTCGGGCACTGCCCAAAGGGCCCGGGGTCAGTAGGGGGCCCCATGAGATGCCCCTGGTCCTTTTTCATAGGCTTTTATGAGTTTGGGCAAGGACACAGGGGCCCCATGATCCCCTATTGCCCGGGGGCCCCATGAGTTGTCAGTCCGCCCCTGGCCCTCCCCCTTTCTCAGAGATACATTGCAGTAAGCCTCATGGCATGGAGCAGGAAACAGCATGTTCTTTTGACCTATGGAATTTCATTGTTTTGTAAGATTCTCTCAGTTTATGGAATAAAATTCACAAGATCTACAAGATGACATTCTCATTGAGTCACTGACTGTGGTATCCATCAGAGGTTGAAGTTATCGCTATCTCATCACAACTGTAAGTTCCAGAGATCACACTATAAATGCTTAGATTGGAGCCAACAGAACAGTCACAAAAGTAAAAGACACTCAGACATGATTTGAACCACGTTCTTTTTTTTTTTATATAAAAACAATATCTTACAAATTAAACAAAAAAAAAACATTTCAGTTACAGAATAAATTGTCATTTCCCAGTCTGTATCCCATTAGTTATTTTGTGCAAAGCAGTTATTCCAGCTGACTTTTCAGTCTACAGAACCAGGGGTCCCGTTGAGGAATTAATTGGGAATTACCCATTCTATAGAGTAGAAATAAAGTGAGAGGCCCTCGAAGCGATTGTTTGTAGCCCTTCATGGTGGTAAATCCTGAAAGTATCGAGTATTACCCCGTTTCTCCAGATAG